AATCACTTTAAAGAAGGTATTTTCATACTGGTTCTAGTTCAAAACACCTAACTAAAAAACTATTTGTTCTCTTTCAGCCATAAACATTATCGGAAAAGCGTTCGTCGCCCCACTGTTGCGGCCAGAGTCAATAGAACGCGAAATCAAGCCTGTGGACACTGAATTCGTGCAGGCCAGCAACTACGATGACGTTCGCGCCGAGCTGATACTTAATGAGAACGCCAATCAAGCGCACCCCATTCACCGGTTCATTTGGGGTAACCGCAAGTCGCTGATCACCGAACCGACCGCCAAAGGACTGGACATTCGACAGAGCCTGGTCGACTTCTTCAACCGGAACTACTACCCAGAGAACATCGTGGTGGCAGTGCAGTCCCAGGAGCCGCTGGCCAATCTGGAGGAGTGGACGAAGGTCTTTGCCGAGGTGAAGCCTCGTTCCCCAGCTGTAGCAAGTACGCCCCCGGTCACCGTCGCCCCCTTTGACAATGCCAAGTTTAACCGCCTCTACGCAATGGAGGCCATCAACTCTGGCACCAAACTGCTCGTTCACTGGGCCCTACCACCGGTGCTCGACAAGTACCTCTTCTCTTCCTTTGACTACCTCTGTGCGCTGATTGGCCACGAGGGCAAGGGCAGTCTGATTGCCGAGTTGCGCCGACGGGACCTGGCCATCGACCTGCTCACTGAGAGCCAGTACTTCTGCACAAAGAACAACTCCCTGNGCTGATTGGCCACGAGGGCAAGGGCAGTCTGATTGCCGAGTTGCGCCGACAGGACCTGGCCATCGACCTGCTCACTGAGAGCCAGTACTTCTGCACAAAGAACAACTCCCTTCTCTCCATCTTTGGCGTGGAGATTGAGCTGACGCCGAGCGGCGCCCGCCGACTGGAGGAGGTGGTGGCGCTGCTCTTTGAGTACATCACCGTCATTCGGACGACTGGCGCGCAGGAGTACTTCTACCGGGAGAACCAGACCATCGCCCACAAGTCCTTCAACAACAAGTCGGAGCGGTCGCCCATGGAGAATGTCGTTCACCTGGCCACCAATATGATGCACTACCCGGTGGAGCACACCCTCTCCGGGCACAGTCTTTACTACCACTACGACAAGGCCGCTATTGACGACCTCCTGGCGCACTTTCTCCCTCACAATGTCAATCTCATTCGCGTGGGCGGACCCCTTCGGGACGACCTGCAGACGCTCACCGAGAAGTGGATGTCCACGAAGTACCAGGTGTCGGACATTCCGGCGGCGTGGATTGAGCGGGCCAATCAGTGCCACGGCCAGTCGGAGTACTTTCGCTACCCCAAGCCGAACAATTTTATCGCCACCCGCTTTGACCTCCTTCGAGACACCCTACCGCCAAGTGCTCCCGAGCGACGGGCGGAGGAGTACCCGATGGTGGTGCAGCAGACGGACCGCCTCACCGTCTGGTACAAACCGGACTTTAAGTTCAACCTGCCAAAAGCCGCCATACAGCTGCACATTCTCAACCCCTGCTTTGACGGCTCACTGCAGGAGTTGACGCTGGCTGATGTCTTCTTTGAGTATGTCATTTACAAGCTGAAGGAGGACACGTACGACGCCCTCGCCGCCGAGCTCAACTGGACGCTCCAGCAGACGTACAATGGAATTTCCATCATCACCGGCGGCTTCAACCACAAACTGGCCGACCTGGTCATTTTAATTCTCAAGCGCCTGAAGACGATCGACTTTGAGCCGACCATCCTCGAGTCGATGAAGGTGGAGGTGGCGAAGCACTACAACAACGCCTTCCAGGATCAGGAGACTTTCAACACTAATCTGCGCCTGCTCACCCTGCTGGACCGCTCCTACAGCTACCTCCAACGGTGGCCACTGATTGGGGCGATTGACAGGGCGCAGATGGAGCAGTACAAGGCAAAGGTGCTCTCCAACCTGTCCGTCGAGCTGCTGGTGCAGGGCAACTTTAGCCATGAGGAGACGATTCAGCTGGGCAAACGAGTTGAGGAGATTCTTCAGCTACCATGCCCTGCGGCCCAGAGCGGCGGCCCTCCCTACCCGCGACAGAAGACACTGGTCCGGGAGCTGCCGGTCGGTGTCAGTCGCCTTCGCGCCCTGACGCTGTCGGAGAAGAACGCCATGTCACTGGTGATCTGCTACTTTCAGCTGATGCCCTACACCCTGGAGGCCTCCATCTACCTGTCGCTCTTTATCGAACTCATTGACGAGCTGTGCTTCAACACACTGCGAACCATAGAGGGACTGGGCTATCGGGTGGGCTGCGGCGAGAACGACACCTCGGGCATACTGGGCTTCAATGTGCAGGTGGCCAGCAATGCCAACAAGTTTCAGTGCTCCTTCATGGAGGAGCGCATCATGGCCTTTGTGGACACCTCCTGTCGGGAGCACCTGGCGACGCTCAGTCAGGCCAAGTTTGAGGAGTTTGTCTCGTCGGCGCTGAAACGCCGCCAGGCGCCCGACGTCAGCCTCGGCAAGGAGGTGAAGCGCAACATGGATGAGATCTGCTCCTTTGACTACTGCTTCGATCGGCTCAAGAGGGAAATTGCACAGCTGAAGAAGGTAATTTACCCGTGATTGTTGCATTCCTTGTCTCTAACACTTACTCGTTTTAGATCACGCTGGAAGGACTCCAGCAGTGGACGGCAAAGCACATCTTTGTGCCTGCCAGTGAACGCAAACAGCTGACAGTTCAGGTGATTTTTCTTTTGCCAATAACAAATCTACTACTGCTACTTGAGTCATCAGTGAATTGCTAATTGCTAATGCAAAACAAATTCATTCATTAACAGGTAGTCGGCAATGGAGAGGTGTCACTGGCGGAGTGCACCACGGCGGACGGATCGGCAGTCAGCGAGTCGATGATTCCGCGGGAGAATTCGCAGGGTCAGTGCAAGCCACTGCTGCTGCTGCAGGCCAAAGAAAACAAGAACTTCATCATGGATGTGGAGGCCTTCAGGAAGCAGTTAAAGTTTTATCCACCACAGCCTTCGGTGAAGGATCTCAAGTGATGCTGATGGTAATGCCAGTGCAGACTAGGACTTTCTCAACTGGCTAGCTCATTTTAGGTGCTTTACTTTTAATCTTCCTCACCCTTGCACCCTATCCGAAAAAAAGTGTACTTATAAAACTTTATAAAATAAATAAAAAACAATTGAAGTTGTGACGACGGTGGTTATTTGGCGGCGGCGGTGGCGTAATGCTGTGCTTTAATGCTTCACTGGTCAACTTCTAATGACCAACTGAGATCGACTTGTAGACGTCGTGGTAGGCATTTCGAATGAGCGCATAGGGAAAGCAGGACTCGAGCAGGTCCATGGTGAGAAAGGGCGACTCCTGGACGATGAGGTCGAGGAGAATGTACACCGACTCGCGATTGCGAATCGCCTCCTTGTCGCCCGTCTCCTGGCCGAGGCGCAGCAGCGAGGAGGAGGCCAGGGCGAGAAACTCCTTCAGGCGCTCCTCAATGTCATTCGTCTCCGTCTGCGTGAAAAGCGCCCCGGCCACGCCGTTGATGGCCTTCGCCAGGCAGTGGATGTTGTTGGAGTGCGCCTCAAACTCCGGCCGGTAGGTGCTCGTCTCGAGGCGGGCCAGCTTGGGCAGCGACACGGCGATGAAGACCATCATCAGACAGGAGTACTCGTACTTCTCCTCGGCGCTCATGTCGCTCTTGTTGTGCGACTTGAGGGCGTTCACCATGGCCGGGTCGACGCGGCACTCGATGCCGGCGGCCGCCGCCATGTCGTCCACCACCTTCAGCCCGTTGGCGTCCATCTGCATCGACTCGATCATCGAGCTGTTCGCCGAGTGGTGAAAGTCCTTCACCGAGCCGAGGAGGAAGGGAATGCGCTCCTCGAGGACGTCGTGCAGTGCCTCCTGAATCAGCGAGCGGAAGCACATCATCTCGCCGATGATGGTCATCCGCTGGAGGACGCAGTCGACGCCGCTCAGCTTCTTGAACAGCTCTTTCATCGTCTCCGGGTGGTCGTACCGGGAGCGCATCTCCTTCAGAGTGTCAGCGTTCGTAATGACAATTCGCTGAAAAAGTGCAAACTTGTGTGAGTAAAAGTTTTCAGTAGTAAGCGAACAAACATACCTTCAGCTCCGTAATCTGACTGGCAATGTGCCACATGATCTTCTCAACAAGATGATCAATACCATAAGGGCCAATCAGCTCAACTAAAGCACGCAATTCTAAATCACAACAAGTGTTATAAAAACATGTTTTCAAAATGATACCAGCTAAACCCTTACCATTAATGTCTGAAAACTCTTCCGCCGAAAATGGCATCTGTGGATCAATGATCAGCGAGACAAAAGTCTTCTGCCGGGGCGAGTAGACGATATGCCCTGAGGAGACTTTGCGCAGCAGTACCTCGAGGTACCAGTTCGTGTAGAGGTAGGCAATGGTCTTCTCGCCATGCGAATCCTGAGCCTGTGTCTGCTGCAGCAGAACATTGTTGAACACGCGGGTCATGTCAATGTGAACTGGAAAAAAAGTTGCGTTTAGATTTGATTCATTTACCAAAGTAGAACAACTCTCACCATGACTCTCAATACTTTGAAGGACATTCATGTAGGAGCGAACGCTGACCAGCAGCTCCGACGGCTTGGCAATGTCCCTGGTGGCGTCATTGTTCATGGTCATGTTCATCAGCGACTTGTTGAAGCGGTTCTCCAGGTTCTGCGTCAGGTACTCCCTTGGCGAGAAGGTGTGGTCCCAGACGTGAATCGTCGGCGAGTGGTTGATGGCGAAGCACAGCTCCGTCAGCGCCATGTGCAGCTTGTCCATGGTGGTCAGCTCCTCGCGACTGCGCCGATAGCTCTCCGTCCCGGGGCGCATACTGCCGTACTGCCCTCCGCCATTGGCGACGCCGTTCGCCGCCGACTTTGGGTCGCCCGCCGAGCCAGGCAAAGCGCCGTTCATGTTCACAGCGGCCGCCGCCGCGCCCCGGCCGCCCTTCTGCTTCAGCTTCCGCTGTTCGGTAAACATTTTGGCGTGTTTAGGCATCAACTGCGCAAAACAAAAGAAACGAAACTGTAAACAGCACTGGCAAACAAAAGAGTGCAAACAAACAAAGCCATACCATGTCGCTCATGAGGCAGTGCTCATCGCAGATCGTCGTGATGATGTTTTTCGCCTCCTTGGACATCTCATCGAGGTAGAGGTTGACCAGGTTGATCGACCGGTCGCCAATCGCATAGCGCTCCTCCGGACAGAGCTCGTGGACGCAGTTGAGAAAGTGGCCGCAGATGAGCGGAAAGGCGATGATGTAGCGCGTCTGTGCGGGAAACTCCAGACACATGCGAAACTGCTCCTCAAAGGCGCGGTGGCAGAAGCAGAAGATGGAGAGGTCGCTCGTCTCGTTGAGCATCTGATCGAGGTAGTCGACCATCTTCGTGTGGTAGACGATGGTGTTCATGCAGGTGGCCAGGTTGACGTGGTCGGACACCAGCTGAAAGGGATACCGCTGGACGCTGGTGTACGCCTGCAGGCGGAACCAGTCCAGCCGCAGCGCCCGAAAGTCGAACAGCTCAGAGTCGATTTGGCTCTCCCTTAGGTTGGACACCGTCTCGTAGACGCTGTTCAGTATGGCCGAGTCCTCCTCCGGCAGGTCAGAGGTGTTCTCCGAGATCTGATTCAGCAGGTCGGCGTCGTAGCTGTACAGGTACTGAATGTGGTACCGCTGCAGCACCTGGCTGTACTTGCGCACCAGGCCGCGCAGCTCTTCAATGTAGAAGAGCAGCTCGGGCAGCTGGCGGTCGATCAGGTCCTCCGTGCTCACCTTCGCCTTGCCCGACTGCCGAGAGGGCTGATTTTCGGCGTGGCGCAGCAGCCAGTGCACTTCGTCGCGGGCATAGGACAGCGCCATAAAGACAAACAGCGCCTTCGGGCCGAGCAGCCCAGGCTGGTCGGAAAAGAGAAGAGCCAGCTCCTTCAGGGCGGTTCGCAGGTACTTACGACGCTCCCGATGAATGTGAGCACTGGAAGAGCAAACGTTATTGGTTAATGGTAACATCTCAATACTTGCAATAAAACTAACCTCTTCTGAAGAACAAAATTATATGCATCCTTCACTTCGGATATTCTCTTGTTGTACCCTTTGTGCGTTTCAAAGTACTGCTGAACAAACTGGTGAGTGTGGAGGATCTCATCGCGAAACAGTGTGGTAACCCAGCCACACTTCAGTGCGCTGGTAAAGAGTTGATGCGTGTCTTGCTGGTTTAAAAACTGGTGAATCAGTAAAAAACCGACTGTGAAAGGCAGACGACAATCAGATTAGCACAATTACAACAGAAAAGGGATTGGCAAAAAATCGACTTACAGATAATGTAGCGCTCCATTGCGTCGATTGACATGTAGAAGCACTGTGTGGTTTCCGTTTGCACCGGATTGAGCATCGTTTCAGGGCTGGCAATCAGACTGAAGAGCTGGTCGTTGCGCCACTTCTGGGCGGTCACATTTCGATTGGGAAAAATGTCACGAAGTGAAAACAGCGCCTGGTGGAGAAGCTTGGAGTGAGGGACAAACTCCTCTGACAGCTTCTTCAGCGGTTGATCGTAGTCGATGATCATCTGCCCCAGTCGAGGAAAGCTAGTGTCACTGTGGCCGTGCGTCATGTCAAAGGCAATGTTGTACAATCCCAAAACTGCTTTACGGTCCTCAACTCGAGACAGCAGAATCATCAACGACACATAGGTGACCACTAGGTCCAGATAGGCTTTTGTCAGATCAAAGTTGAATCTCTGCAAAGTGAAATGGCTGGTTAGATTTTAAATTGACAACTCACAGTTTTCACTCACAATGTCCAACGTCAGCTGGCACGCATCCATGGTGGTCAGCAGCTCGCAAACGTGGTCCTTGAACTCAAGCAAATCGACAAATGTGTGGTAGTACAGTGCCAGAGACTTGAGAATGTTGTCCTTCATACTCGTCAATATGCCGAATTGCGACTGAAGGGGGTGATTTAGTTGGTATTTGAACATAAAGGCTAAGAGTGCCCGCACTTACATTGGTTTTGTAGTCTGAGATGTTGGGAAACTTTCGCACCGCGTGCTTGATGATGGACTCCATCTGCTTGTCCAGCAGAAAGGGCGGCTTCAACTTTGGGTCGCTGCATGTCTACACAAAAAACAACCAGAAAAATAGAGGGTCGCATCAAATAACACAACAGCACACAACGGCACGGACACACCTTTTTGATGTTGTAGATGCGCGTCAGCATGCCAATGCCCCGATCATTGAGGATGGTCAGCTTCTCAGCCAACTTTGGGTGCGCCAGGGTCATGGATCGCATGGTGACGGTGGTCCGCGGCTTGGCCGGCGATTTCGAGGTATTTCTTCGCTTTTTATCGGTGCCGCCGAGGAACGTCAAACACAGTGACGGATGGATCAAACAGCGAGGAGAGTGGACGCAAACAAATGGAGAGTAGAGGCCGATTTTTTTGCTGGCTCGAATCACCGAAACGATGCCATCTGCTGAGGAGAAGCCTCAAGCAGGCGCCAGAATGTGCGCACTGTTCGCACGCACATTGTTTTCTTTTCTTCTTTTTGTTGTTTGTCCCTTCAGATTCGCGGTTCTTTTCTTCTTTTCTTAACGTTCCTTACCTTCATCTTCCCTTTAATTTTGTCGTATTCACTTCACATCGGCGATGCTCAAGCCAAGCACCGCATCACTGCTCTGGAAGTGTCTCTCCCTTCACGGCAGCTGTCGACATGCTGCGCTGACTGGCACAACGGTGCTTCCCGGTGGGTCACTGATTCGCACCAATGGAATCACCACCACCACAGGTTGCGTCATACCAGAATTGTCGAACTTTCGACCCAGTTTTGTCCAAAGTCGGGAGTTTGCCACCAATGAGTCGGCACAATTGTCGACGGGCAAGGCAGTGACACTGTCAAACAAACGGATTGTCGCCAAAGTTCTTGGCCTGAAGTTACCGTTTCTTCAGGAGCTGGACTTTTCCGTTACGAAAAACTCGAATCAAATAGCATTTGACTACACGTACTTTGGCGCCGACCAATCACCGCAAAAATATCAGATTCAATTCCTTCTCAACTATTTTCGAACAAAAAGATCTATGATAACGGGAAACTTCAAGGAGATTCAACACAAAAGATCTGAATTTATGTTCCTTATCTTTGATCCACAACTGTCTCAAATTCTATTATCTAATGACGCAGAAGAATCTCCTGGTTTTGACTTTGATTCCATTACCATTTTTGACGATCCATTCAATGCACTTGCATTCTATCAACAGACTAAACTGCCAACTATCGTGTTCAAATTTCCACAATCAAACAAGATTGATCTTTCAAGTTGTCACAGTTTTTTCAGTAAAATTGATCAGCGTTTCAAAAAGGTACTATGGCTATTTTGAAAAAACAAACTATAAAATAACTGTTTTTGATCTTAGATTTACTTTTGGTCAAATGACATTTACTTCTGCCGAAACTTCCGCAAGCTTTGCCTTGAGCACTTTGATCGCGCAAAGCTGCATCGAATCACCGTTGTTGAGGGCGCACTGCAAATGCTGCACCAGAACAAAAGTGAAAAATACGCCTCTGTTTTCGAAACAGCAAGTCGAAATGACCGACCGGGTATTTTGCCTGTTTACGAGACCATTGAAGATCTGTTTGCCCACCTGAATGACAAGCAAATTCAGGGCGTTCAGTGGGGACGATTTGAGCGGTTCAACGAACACCTCAAAGGCCATCGACCAGGCGAGCTGACCATCATCACAGGGCCGACTGGCTCTGGGAAGACCACCTTTGTTTCCGAGTACTCGTTGGACCTGTGTGAGCAGGGCGTGCGAACGCTGTGGGGCAGCTTTGAGATCAAGTACCTCAACCTGGAGCGAATGATGATGACTCAACTGGTGGGCAGGAGCTTCGATGCGAGCAGGCGAGCCGAGTTTGACCAGGCCTCCGCCCAATTTGCCCAACTGCCGCTCTTCTTTATGAACTTTCACGGACAAACGGACATTGAAGATGTGCTCGAAGAGGCGAGGCACTCAGTGCTGATGCACGGCGTGGAGCACATTATCATTGACAATCTGCAGTTTATGCTCGGTGAGCAGTTCTTGATGATATGGTATTCTTTTGTTTCTGACGCTTTTTTGTGCACTTCAGGCCTGTCAACCGACTCGAGCGTGGACCGCTTTCACAAGCAGGATGTAGTGCTGGGAACTGTGCGTGAGTTTGCCACCCGGTACAACTGTCACGTCACCCTGGTGGCCCATCCGCGCAAGGAGAAGGAGGAGATGACACTGTCGAACAACTCACTGTACGGCGGCATCAAGGCCAGTCAGGAGGCGGACAACATACTGATCATCATGAACAAGTACCACCCGAGGTTCAAGTGCGCCAAGTTCGTGCAGATCACCAAGAACCGCGCTCACGGCAGTCTGGGCGTGGTGCCGCTGTACTTTGACAAGAATTCGCTGTGCTTCTCATCGTACCACAAAGCGGCTGAACAGGCGGACTCTAAAACGGTCGACGAACAACTGAAACAACAGCCTGAAACGGGAGTTCTCGAGCCAGCTCAGTTGTCCGCTGTAGAGGGTGAAATTCAGGAAAAGGATGACACCTTTGAAGAGGGGAATGAGGAAGAAGGATTTGAGGACAACAGAAGTTCTCCACTACAGTTTGACAATATAAGTCCAGAGGAGATTAATTACGGTAATTTTAAGGCTTTCCTTCAGCAGCAGCGAACGAAAACCAACGTGTAGACAGAGCCCACCACCACCATCATCATCATTCAGTAAGTGCCTTCACTGAGATTATATCATTTGTTAGATTTTTTTTCTTTATTATTTTTTGGGCCGTAATAATCATCGAATAACAACAAATACATGTGTAACATGGTTGTCATAGATTTGTACATAAATAGAGAGAATATTATTTGTTTTTGCATATATCAGTAATAAAGCGCGAGATCTGAAAGACTAGGTTCTCTTTGTCGGTGTTGTGTCATTTTTGTTGTAGCGGTGGTAGTATTTTGGGTAGTGATCATCATCAGCATATCAACAAGGTCTAGAAATAAACGGTAATAATCGGCACAATTGCACAACGAGAAGAAGTGTTTGGCAATTGTGACAAACGGAGAAAGAAGAAAAGAAAGAAAAAATGAGTGAGTGAGATCACCAGAGATGGCCACGCACAGGGCCTAGGGGAGTGAGAGAGAGTGGGAAATTAAGAGGAAAACCTATACTGGAAACTGGGCCTAAACACAAGAGATCAGAAGGCTAGGACCGATGGTCAGAGTCACCGGAAACAGAAGAAAAGAATCATAAATAAGATGAGAGAGAGAGATAAGGAAAAGAAAAAGAGAGAAAAGGGTGAGAGGGCGGGGAGGGTGTGGTAGTGGTGGTGGTAGTGGCAATGGTCGTGGTGACATGGCTGTCTCAAGTTAAGGTGAGTGGGCGAGTGATTGCAGTCCTTGCTTACAGGCTAAGAGAGAGCACCTGGTCTGCTCAATCAGGAGTAGTAGGCCACCACCACGGTCGTCAGCAGCATCAGCAATGAGGAGGAGTAAGAGGAAGGGGAGGAGCAAGAGCACCACTATTCACCACCACCACCACCGCCCCTCCAATGGCTAGTCTTCAGGAAAAGGAAAGAGAGAGAAAGATTCTGCTGTTTGCTGACACTGGCACTGGGGCGCAATTATGCGCAAGAGAAAGGAATGAGTAAAGAAATGCAATTTGGTTGTCTCACTAGTAGTGGTCAGTTTGCGTGCACTCACCAACACGCCCACTTCAATGGAAGTGCAGCTGTGGGGGAGTGTACGCTGGTGTGTGTTTGTGTGTTTGTGTCTGTGTGTTTGGTATCATCCTCACGATGAGCTCGTGAGATCATCATGGCTAACAACGGTGTGTTTGTTGGTATGTACAGAAGGCATTGAGTAGATAAGCAATAACAAGAAAGAGCGTACAGAATTGTCAGTGTTGGTGGTGATGCTCGCTGCTAAAGGAGAAGGAGGAAAAAGGAGGGCGAGCCCAACGAAAACAAAGAAGAAAAGTAAGAACCACAAGCGCTTGGAGCGCTCAAAGAGAGGTAAGCAAAAGGGGAGAGAGAGAGATGATGCAGAAAAATTAAAGGTATGTCAGCGATGAGAGAAAGAGAGAGAGAGAGATGGTAGCAGAGTAGCATCGATTGTGCGACCTGTTCAGCTGAAGCAGATCATCAGAGATGGATTTTGTAGATTTTTAGTTGAGTGGCAACGGTAGAGTAAAGTTATTGGAAAGTAGAAATTGAAAGAAACGTGGTAACCAACGAGCAAAGCTAAACAGCAATAACGATGAGCGAAAGTTGAGAAAGAGTGAGAGTGAGAACGATTGTTGTAGCGTAGAAAGTGTGAGTTGGTATCTTGCTTGGAGCCAAGTGCAGAGATGATGATCATGGTGGACATCATCACATTATCGAAGCTGTGTGTGTGTGATTGACTAGAGTGGATGAAGAACAGTGTTCCATCACAGAAGACTACAACAAGAGTGGACAATCGGGCCAAGAGAGTAGTTTGAAACTGAAAAAAACTTCGGAAAGTGGAACTGACTAGTTTTGACTGAATGATTGGCTGTGACTGGTGGGCTAGAGTTGAAACAAGTCTGATCTGTCTGTGAGTGCTAGTTGACGGAATCATAGTAGTCTAGAGGAGGAAAAGAAGAAAAGAAGAAAGGAAGAAGGAGATAACAGTCCAGAGAATTGCAGGAGAAAATTGGAGGTGGAGGTGGTGGAGGTGGGAAGGTGAAACCGTAGGATCCCGTTGCCGACAGACAAGGAAGGTAGTGTGTCTTTGTGAGTGTTTGAGTTTTGGGTGGTAGATCAGACTGGACTCAGATTCACACAGCCACACACACACGACAGACGAGGATGACAAGAGGAAAAGCCAAACATGAAGGATAACGAAAGAAGAACGAAAGAAGTGAGCATGCAACATTGGAGCAATTGGGCAACTTAGGTGGAGTGTCCTTGTCTCCCTCTGAATGTTCGTCTGTGCTGAAGTGTGGTGATGGCCAGAGATGGTCAAAAACATCATCATCATCAGCTCCTCATGCAAACGGTGCAAAACGAAGGAAAAAGAAGGAGGAACGAAAAGATGGCACCAGCAAATGAAGAAAGAGAGGGAGAAAGGTGTTTTGTGTATAAACTGTGTGTGTGTTTGAAGTGTGCTGATTTGGTCTGTGAGGTGGTGGTGGTGGTGGTTCATGGCAGTTTGGTTGTGGTGGTGATGGGTGGATTAGACTGAAAAGACAATGGTGGAGGTGGTGGTAAGTCCATGCAACAGGGCTCTCTGCAACACACACAGTTCACACTCGGACAGACGGAGGATTCCCAAGGATTTCCCATCCACAAAGAGGAGGTGTTTCATTGCATAAACAGTTTATCATCTCATTGGTTCTCACCGTCCAGTGCTTCCAGGTACTTGTTGTCGATCACACAGGGCACTATCTTGTGTCTGTAGAGTTAGGAAGAGAATTGTCAGCTTGTGATATTAGGCCAAACCAGAATTTTAGCTTACCTAAAGGGCAGCAGCATGATGACAATGACGGGAAAGACCATTTTGATGTAGGGCCAGGGCGAGAAGCCAAAGAAGCACATCATGCCCAGCTGCACCATCTGACAGAGTGTGAAGAGGTGAATCTTGCGCTGTGGACACCGGCGTATGTAGTGATTTGGCGGGTAGGCGGCCTGAAAACGGAGAAAATGTGCATGGTCGGGAATGATTAAGTGAGATCGAGGTTAATGGGGTGCTTCTACTGGCCTGAGTTGCCAGGCAATTGAGCAATTACCTCCCGTTTACTTACCTGTTCCATAAAAAGCAGTGTGATGCGTTCAAACATCTGATTGCCATTGAGCGAAGTTATTGCCATGTAGAGGAAAAGGCCATTGAGCACGGCAGTCGGGATATAAGCCAGTGGGTAGGGGATTAGAAAGACGGAAAGGCCAATGAGGATATGGGACACGATCCCAGTGAGCCGAGTTTCGCGCACTTTGACGATTCTAATTTAGTGATTGAGGGGAAGTAAAAGTGGTCAGTTGGCTGTTTGGTTAGTATAACACAATAGGCCAGTCACTCACATCTCATAAACATGACCCTGGTCGACCCGTTCTTCGACGTCCGCCAGACTGCGAACGTGCAGTGGCGAGTGCGGCAGAACGCCGTGCATCCACGGGAAGCCGTACATGGAGAGAAAACCGTTCAGTATGCCCACCACAAACAGGTCCAGGTGGTAGGCGCAGCCCTTCTTCAGCCTAAAGTGAAAGTGAAGTAGTAGTAGTGGTGGTGGTTGTGGTGGGGAATTGCCGCAAACAGATTAGCAGTGTCAGCGAAAGTGAAGGCTTTTAGCCGCTTTCTTTCGGCTTTGCTTTGCTTTGCTTTGCTTTCTATTCTATTCCGTTCTATTCTACTCTGCAATATTGCCTTCACTTCCTTCTACACGAGTACTTACTTATTGCACGGATTGTTCACCATTGCCGCGGAAATGTTCTGGTCCATAAAAAAGAGTAGCGACAGCGAAAAGCCTAAGCCCGCACAGGAGCCGATCGCGGCCCAAGGCAACTCTTCCAGACGAGCTCTCGTAAACTCAAACTCTTCATCGTAACGAAAGTGCTCGACTGGGAGGAAGGAAAAAAGAAAAAAGAAAAAAGGCAAAAACACGTAGTAAGAAGCACTCGACACAAGAGGTAGGTAAGCCAAGCACGCACCTGGAATATCACGAAAGATGAATGAACCTAAGAAGCTGAGAATGATGACCGAACAGGGTAGTGCGTAGTCTGCCAGCAGCTCGCGCTTGCTCGCCTGCAGGTACGGGCTACAGAAGGGAAAAGGAAAAAAGGTGAAGAGTGAAACCTTGGCACTTCAAGACAAGTGGTCATTTTAGCAGGTTTTCTTACGTCTTGTTGAAGTTGAAGAGCGACACTGCCATCCACACGGTGCCCAGCATGAGCAGGAGAAAGAGGAGGCTGGTCTCGCGACGGCACACCCCATCGCCGGTGCCCTGCAGGTCGGCGAGGATGAGATTGAGCGCCGCCGTGGTGAGGTTGTAGAAGCCACTGCTCGAGCTGGACCAGAACATGTTCGCCAGTGTGCTGGCGTTGTGCGAGTGGTCCGGCAGCGCCGCCGACCCAAGGAAGCTGTGCATGCTGTGATTGTACTCGGCGGCGCCGCTGTACAGCGCTCCACCCGCAGCAAGGCCACTCTCACTCCAATTGCCGCCGCTGCCGTACAGCTGCTCGCCCCCGAAGGGACTGCTGCCGTTGTGGCTGCCATTGTACGCCCCCATTGGATCACTGAGCTCGAAAGGAGATGAGGAGGAGGGGTAGGAGTAGGGATAGGGATAGGATGAGGGGTAGAAGGAGGAGGAGGAGTTGATGGGAAAGGGCAGGCTGGGTGGTTGAGCAACCAGGTGCGTCCGAAAGTCAGTCAGCAGGTTGGCCCGCTCTCGGGTGCGATTCACCTGGTCGATGCACGCCGGCGAGTAGTAGTGCTTGTAGAAATCTGCAGAGAGAAGACAGAAAGATGAGAATGGTAAACAGAAAACAGCATTTGGTCATTGTCCGCTGGTCAGTGACTGTGAGGCGGAAGGAGGACAGGCGGGCAAACAAGCGAGGAACGCTTCAACAGTTTCAGTTTGCAGGCAGGCACTTACTCTTGACCACGTCTCGGCCAGCGTCCACGGCAAAGGCGATGCTGATGAAGAGGGAGAAGATCTCCTCGGTGGAGCGAGTGCACCATTTCATTAGCTTGCTGACGTCGAAGATGGCGTAGAGGATGAGGAAGAAGGTGTTCCACAGGCCCACACAGGCGTACATCGCGTAGAAGTCCACCTGAAAGTCCTCGCAGATGTTGTAGATGACTGTGTATTGTGTGTGGTGTGAGTGAGGTGATGCGATTGTTTGTTGTGTTCGTGTCCGCATTTGTGTGTGTATTTTATTTAGTGGTGTTGTTGATTGAGACGTGTGCCGGGCGAATAACGATGAATTGATGAAGCGGAAAGTGGAAGAGAAAAAGAGAATAAAAAATAAAAATGAGAAAAATGTAGTGTGATCGCAGTCAAACAAAGAAATCAATTAGCGCTCACTGGGCACAGAATATAGGGCGCACAGAAAGGGAGCACAGCTGAGTGGGCGCCAACCCGGCCTTCAGCTAATGTGCCAGAAAGATGGGCAAACGGGAAGAAAAAAAAGAAGAAAACGAAAAAGCAACCATACCTTTAATGTAGAGACAAATTGGCGCCGTTGTCATGATGATTACCAGTGGCTGGCCGCCTAGGAACGCAAAGGACAGTCCACCGATGGTCTGGCCGATGATTGCCTTGCGAATATCTGTGTGAAAGAACAAAGTTGTACAGAAAATGATAAATCAAAGAAAAAGTGAGAAGGTAGGGTAGCGAATAAAGTGGACAGAAAAGAAGCAGGTGTACGAAGAGACACCAAAAGGTGAGGGGACAAGTGGTGAGCACTTGCGGGCACTTGCTTTCACGGGAAACAATAGACTAAGGAGGAATGACAATGAGAGTGCAAAAGTAGATGAGACTGGCAGTGACTTTCGTGCCGCCAGACACGCACCGCAGACACACACACTCACAGACTGCACCGGAGACTCTAATTGAATGCGCTGCTGCTGCTGATGATGATGATGCTGATGCTGGTGCATGCTTATTATCGCTAGGGCTCATTACGACGACGACAAGGAAGAGGATGGCAACGACTGCTGAACGATGCATCGGCAGCAGCAGCAGCAACAGCACACGATGGCTCCTCTAATTAGAGTGCTCTATTAGCCTATGATTAGGAGTGGAGCAGAGAGTGAAGGATGAACACGCTTTGCTGCTGCTGCTGCACCAGTGATAGACATGCAGGCGGTGGTGGTGGTGATGATGATAATGGTATAGGCAGACAGGCAATGCAGAGTAGTTCTTTGAGGCTGATGTGTCGATCTTAATTCTCAGATAAGGAGGAAGGGGAGGGAACAGAACTGAGAATTAGGATGTTGCAAAAAATCTGCAGAGGAAACGAGCAGAAGAATGGCGCCAGGAGGACGGCACCGAGAGTTGCTGCTGCCGCTTCTCGATTGATTTGTACGACAATCAGGCAACGCACGTATGGGTCAGTCCTTCATTTTCCTTTACTTTTTTTCCCATCCTTTTTCTCTCTTATCTCTACTTTGGCATCTCGGTAAACGAACGCGCTCGCGTTCAGTGGCCAATTCATCAATTTGGCCACTGAACTCGTTCATTACAAAGCGGAAATTGTAACGGTGTCGAGATGCTTCAGCTGCAACTGCAGCAGCTGACGGTGAAGTCGGCCAAATGAATAGCGACCCAGTAAAAGCAGAGCACAGTCAGAAGCAATGAAAGACAGAGAGAGAGAGCGAGAGAGAGAGAGAGAGAGAGAGAGCGAGAGAGAGAGGAGTAGACGTGCAGCGAATGTTCGATGTCTCGAATCCTAGCCGTCTGCAGTGGCTGCTGAAGCAAAGGTCTAGTCAAAGGTTTTGCCCACCACCACCCTCACCACCCTAGCTGCAGCTGTGTTTGCATTGACCAGCAGCAGCAGCAGTGTGCAGTAGCATTGCACTTGCACGGCTCCATTAGCCAGGAAGGCAGACAGTGGTGGTGGAGGCAGTGAGGCAGCGAGGCAGCCCATCGACCATCTCATCTCATGGCCATATATCACGGAAAGATGATGGCCACACGGCGCACGGCATCACTGAACATCGATGCATGCATTGCCCGTCGGTGAACCATGTGCCATGCTTGCTGCTGCTGCTGCCGTCCTTGATGGCACTAGTGATGATGATGCACCGTGGCGGTCGTTCGGTGCCGTCGCCGATGGCGCCTACCAATGAGTCTGCCACACTGTGTGTGCTAGGTTGCTTTTTAAAAGCGCTGAGAAGAAGAGGGGAAAAAGAAGAAGAATCTGACACACAACCCCAAAGTGCTGAAGGTGAAAAAGAAGAGCGAGTACAAGAAGAGAAGGGCACGAATTTTTCAATAATTTGGCCATTTGTTTCTGTTAAACTGCCATCATCATTTATCTAATTTGTTCGGCTAAATTTGTCCAAAAGTAAATCGTCCATAGAAAAGGAAGAGAGAGAGAGAGAAAGAGAGGGTGAGTGAAAGAGGGAAAAGTAAAATTGAACTGCAAAACTCAATCGCCAGCCAGGGAAGGCAGCAAGTGCTGACAGTCAAAAGTTGCTTTCGGTACACTTGGTACTGCTTGCTTCTCTGCGAACCACTGGCTACCATCATCATCATCACTACTACTACTACCGCTACCGCTACCGGGATAGCCCCTTCGTGATCGCAAACATTTCACTGCCAGGAGCAGCACAGTACCGGCAAAACGACTGACAAAATGCTACAAAGAGAAAAGCGGGAAAAGCAAGAAAAAGAAAAAGAAAAAGAAAGAAAAATGACCGACCAGATTGGCGGCCAAATGGTGAACGAATTGTCGGTGAACAAAATGGCTGGCGCAGCAACAACAACAACAACATCTGACGGTTAAAGTATGCCAGAAAGATAGCCTAAGTAAGCGACGGCGGCGGAGGCAAAACGCTGCAGAACAAAAAGAAAGCAAGCACCAGACAGTGGTTGCAAGGCAAATAGACCGTCATTGAAGTAGTACTTCGGTGCAAAACACACACACAGTAGAATCTACTTCTGAACTGAGTTCTACTTTTTGAAAAAAGGTACAGAGTATAAAAAGGAAGAGGGGGTGGAAAGCGGGAGAAAGAAAAATCGGCAAGCCAGAATAAGCCAGTAATCGGCAAGGTAACTTACCACCTAAATTGGATCCGGCGAAGCAGGAAATGAATGAAAGAGAGGAAAAAGGCACAGATGAAGAAAGAAGAAAAGTGAAGAAAAAAGAAAGAGAAAAGGAGGAAAAAGAAAAAAGAGAGAATAAAGCAGACTGAGATTAGTGCTCCGCTGAGGAGTGAAGTGAACGTGCAAAGTGAATGAGCAGGCAGTAGTAGTAGTAGGAGTAGTAGAAAACAGAGCAGTACCGATTTTGCCCACCGTGTTGTTGTTGTTAAGTACACCGAAGGCAATAGTGGGAAGGATGCAGGCAAAATATAGAAAGAAGATGGTCGATATCGTCTTCTGAATGGTCTTCCTCCCGATCAGTCCTAGGGTAGGTGAAAGCATTAGAAAGTAAAAGTTAGTAATTGCCTGCTGAGCCGTTAGTGAGCCTGCCTGCCCCCTCCAATTGCAAGGGAACATGGCAAACGGTGTGTGTTTGTGTAAGTGTGCTAGTGTGCTAGTGTCAGTTGTCAGATGCCTCCACAATTTGGCAAATGCAGGGCTCGATTACGGTGCGATTAGCCGACTAACTGTCTGTGCGAATGAGTGCACTGCACTATTTGGTTTTCTTCTTCTTTTTGCTCCTGCACCAGCGGCGCCAACTCTCTTCTTTCCTTTCCCTGTGCACTGCATTATTTATTGCAGACAAATTGAGCATGCATTAATCAGCAATCCAAATAAAGACGGATCAGAGTAATCCAGCAGTAGCGGCAGCGCTTGGACAGGAAAAGGCATCGGCACCAGCAGCATCAGCAGCAGTGCACACGGCTAGGCAAATTAATTATGGATAAATTGGATAATTCGACAAGCGACAACATCAATCGCACAATGAGGGGAAAAGCAAGCAGGCAGGCAGGCAAAACTTGCTTCTTACTAAAAGTGGACAATGGCCGCTGCTACAATTTCCATTTTTACTCACTACTTTTCGACCGGTCAGTAAGACCGCTAACACTAGTTTTCTTCTCTCTCTCTCTCTCTCTCTCTCTCTCTCTCTCTCTCTCTTTGGAAAAAGAAGTCTTTCCTGGCGTCATCAATCAATCATCAAATGTCAATTGGCTGCCTAATTGACTGCCAACAGCCATTGTAGCCAGTAGTAATGCTGGTGGTAGTGGTGACGGTGCCAAAGAACGGCTCTAGTGCAGCATCAGGCTATCAGCACCGTCGTCATCGTCGATGCGGCGGCGGCGCCGACAGTCGATGGCTGATTTTTGTACATTCCGCCTCCATCTTGCGTCCCTGCCATTTTGCCTATCCTCTCTCCCTACAAGAACTACAGCGGCCATTTTTGCTGTGTGCAGAAGAACAAGTCCGCACACGCACACACTCGTGTCGTGGGCACACCATTTGTTGTGTCAGACTGCTTTGTCAGCAGCATCATCAGCAGCAACGGCGGCGGCGGCGGCATCAGCCTCGACTTCGTAGCCGTTGTCGCAGTCTACTACAGCATTTCTATCTTTTTCCCTCGCTGACCCTACATTTCTCTAGCCTACTTTTCGGTCAGTCAGTCAGTGAGTCAGTGAGTCTTCACTCCCAATCAGTGGGTGCTTCAATTGGCGTGCATTGCAATCGTTCAAGGCACTATTGCTGCTGCTGATGCGACCGGCAAACACAATGTCTACAAAGAAGCAATGTCTCCGTCTCTGGCTTTGTTTGTCTGTTTAAAAAAAAGACTGCAACGGCCAAAGCAAACTTACCATCAATGTAGTCACTCAAGTAGTGCGAAGTGCGTCGTCGCAAATCATCACAAAGTCCTTGTGCAAAGTGACACTTGGGCTCCTTTACGGAAAACGGGAATAAAGGGAATAATGGAATAAAAAAAAAGAAAAACAGTAGAAATGAGACAATGAAATCAAGTAGTGACCGTTAGCCAGTGATGCAAACACACACACACAGGCTGACTGTCTCTTTCTTTTCCGTTTTCAAATCTTCAGTTTGACCATTCTGTTGTGCCCAAAAGTACTGTACCTCGTATTCCGCTTCCGGCTCGTGGTTTCCCATTCGACGCGTTGGATTGCTCTGCTCCGAAGCCAAATCTTGGGCGTGCTTCAGCAGGATGCCCTTAAACTCGGCCTCGCCGTGCACATCGAGCAGCTTTTGACGAAAGTCCATGTCGGCAAATATGGTGGCAAACGTGCGACCCGTCTCCAGGGCGTTCTTTGTGCCTTTCTGTTGTGGTAAGGAGGGCAAATGAAAAAGAATAAAAAAGAGAGTTAGAAAGAAAAAAGAATGAGAGTGAGCAAATCAAGAATCAGCAAACGCAGAGGAAAGAATCAAGCAAAGAATAGTGAATGAGTGCTTGCTACTAATTAAATAAAAGCGAATCATTTATTTTTAATTTTTAATTTATTAAGTACACATCGACATGGCAAATCGATTTGGATGTGCATCCCCTGTACTCCCCTCTACTGCCACTCTCTGCCCCGCCACCGTTCTCTTTCTTTCTCACAATCTCATTTTGCCTGCTCCTCTCCTTTCCTCAATCACAACTGTCTCAATTGTCCCAATTGTCTGTGTGTGTGTGCCAACTGCAATTGCAATTGCAATTGCCACTACAATTGATGCCGCTGATTCCACTGCTACTGTTGATTAATTAAAGTGAGCCGTAGAAAGAGAAAATGAGAGCGCAAACGAGAGAAAACGGGAGCGGAAGAAATGAGGGCACCAAAAAGAAAAGAAAAAGAGAAATTTTTGAAGTAAGTCAATAGTCGCACAGGCAGGCATCATGATATGATAATTAATATTATTAATAATATCAATTCTCCTCAACCTAAAGAGCAAGGAAACGGTTCAGCAAATGCGTTTCCCACTCTTTTTTCCTTTTCATGCAGATTCTGCCTGTACTGTGTCGTTGAATTGTGTTTAATTAATTTGATTA